TGACCTTTTCCTTCTTACTTGTCTTCTTAATGACTTTTTGCTTTCTTCATGTATGATGTTCTTGATGTCATCCCACAACTCTTCTGGTCTTCGGTCTTTATTGCTGTATCGCTGTCCAAAGAAACTCCCCCTTTGTACTTCTGAAAGGTTGGTCTGGTTTTTAAAAATTCTTTTAGTTTCTCTTTATTTGCAAATGTCCTCATTTCAATGTTGGATGGATAAGTTTTGGGGTATATGATTCTTGGTTGGCAGTTGTTTTCTTCCAGGGTTTATTATATATGCCATCCACTGTCTTTTTACCTATGTGATTTCTGCTGAGAATCAGAGTTTAGTCTTATTAGTTCTCCTCTGAAGGTAATTTTTAATTTTTCTGGAGCTCTTTTTGGGATTCTTTCCTTGTCTTTAGTTTTGCAAAGTTTGATTATAATATATCAAGGTAATTTTCTTTTGGGGTGTTTCCTGTTTGGAGTTTGTTTAACTTTGTGAGTGGTTATTTTGTCATCTTTTATGATATTAGAGAAGATTTCTTCCAGCAATTTTTAGACAATTTTCTCTCTCTCTCTCTTTTTTTTTTAGTTTTTTCTTGTTCTGGAAGTCCAGTCACATGTAAGTTAGTTCTCTTGATAGTGTCCCAATTAATCTCAGGCTTTCTTCAGGTTTTTAAGTTCTTTTTTCTGATTGTTCCTCTAACAGATGAATATTAAGAGATGAAAATTCAAGAGATTTATCTTGAAGCTCAGTAATTCAGCCTTCCATTGATGCAATTCTACTTCTTTGCCCTTTCAATGTATTATCTATTTCAGAAGTCTTAATTTTAATCTTCTGGCTTTCTAACTGCTGTTTTTGTGTGGTTTCCAATTTTCCACTTACTCTTTTCAGTTTGTTCTTGTAGTGTTTCCCTGAAATCCTCTAAAGCTTTGGGTTTTGTACCCTCTGTGTTCTCCTTGGTTTCCTTGCTCTTTCTCTGAGTACATTGAAGGTACCTAAATATCATTCAGATTCCTTATGAAGTAGTTCTGATACCATTTCTGTTAATATATGTTCTGACTGTATTTCAGTCACTTCTTCGAGGCACTCTGTTTTATTTCTTTGTGTACGTTGGAATTGTCTGATTTCTCTTAGGCACTGGGTGTCATTGTGTTGATACTGAGCTGATGCTGGGATGTTGGTGTGTTCTCAGACACTCACCACCTGTCTCCTGGTGGATGTGATAGAGACAGGAAGTGTGAACGCACTTTTCTGTTCACTCTTTGTGTAGTTTAGTTCAGGGTGGGTTCATGCACTTCAGAAGTGGAGGTGTCACTGCTAGTGTCTAGCCCACCCCAGTACCCAGGCAGAGCTGAGGCTGTGCGAGATGGAGTACCAATATTCACTGGGTTGATGAGGGCAAGGACTGAACTTGCTCCAGACTCTCAGGAAGGTATCGAACAAGGAAGAACTACACCTCCTTTGCAGTCAAACTTCGGCTGCATCCTATGCCAACAGGATGCTGTACAGACAGCCGCCCACAAAAACTCAAGATGGGTTCACTGCTCCACACTTTCTGATAGCTCACCTGGTTTTCTTCCCTCTTGTCAGTCCTG